TATTAGGAGTGGAACTTGGGTCCCCTGTGAGAACAGTGTGACACTCTCGGTCTCTGAGCCATTTCCTCTGGGCATTTTCTTCTAATTCATTATTCACTAATCCCTCCTTCTGACATATCTTTCTAATGAAGCTCTAATTTGAGGATTACTTGCTAATTTTGTGATTGTGGTTCTTATATTACTAGATATGTTGTTTGTTTTTTAACTAGTTGGTTAGGTCACTTCTTTAAATAGTCTCTGGATTTCTTTCAACTGCCCTCTTCTGGTTTTTAAGTACATATGGCTGCTGCTGCTACATCAATTGCTTTTGTTCATGGTACCTTGTTTCCTAGTAGGCAATGTTTTCTTTAATTTTTTATGCCAGTTCATTGCCTTTGGAAATGGTTCTCAGCAGTCTTGCAGCCTAGGATGAAATTGTTTTTTCTCTGTAAAGAATAATAATTTGGTTCTGTGGGGCTGCTAGAGATCAGTAGAGTGATCCTTAAACCAGGCTTGAAGTTTAACACAAGCTTTTATGTCTCCTAGGCTTCCCCTTGCCACCTGCTTCCTCTCTGCTAGACTTGACTATCTTTTAATCAGGGGTGACTTCTCAACATTCACAGGCTGCACCATCCTTTGTCTGTAAAAATAAACTGATACATGTTGGTGAATGAACAGAATTTTAGTTGCTCGCATTAGTGTATCCTTGCTATCTTCGTTCTGTCGGCTTGTTAAGAGCATCATTCTACATTAGATATTATCCCTCATAAGGCCAACTTTCAAGGCATTGTTGTGCCATCTCTTCTGTGCACATTACCCAAATCCTGTGTCACAAAGGAAGTGGGTAGTTGACAAATAATTGCTTCTCAGATAAGACTTTTGTATGCTTATCAGTTCTGTTCACCAGTGGACCAAACAACATATCTCTAGAATTCTCCTTGTTTAAGCAGGACATTTAGAACATTGCTTGGGTTACCACTGGTGATAATGCTTTGTGGCCCTAGAACTGCTTGACCTATGTCTACTATCTTTTCCCTTAGGGTATCCCAGTCTACTTTCTAGAAATTCTCTCTACAACTGGCTAGTGATTGTGCTTCTGGATTGCTCACTGGAAAACATCATTGCCACTGTCTAAACTGTAATCCAAACTTATCAACTTTTATGCGTCTTCCACCTAAGCGGCATAGCCAGGTTTCACGGACGGGCATCTCTGAACAAGGTAACTAGGGCTCTGTCTCTTACCAGCCGTGTGAGCCCTTACGTGACAAACTGCTGATCATCAATGACATGATGGATATAAGGACACTGACAGCAAGGATAACCTACGTGTTTGGCAGAATTAGAATAGCTCTACAAAGCTTTTTTGGAAATAATAGCAATATACTTTTATATTTAATGCCTGTGGGTACATGGACTCAGTGGATGAAGGATAATAACTCAGATGTTTCTTCTATAGACCCTGGTTTCCCTACCAAATATAAAGTGAGTCCTTAAATAGTAGTTGGAAAGCTCAACTATGGGACAATACATAAACAACCTGGTTTGATACTTGGTCCATTAATTAATTAAGAGAATTACAACTGTGTTTCTCATCCCTCTTGCAAGCTGAGACCAAATTTTTCTTTCCTATGAAACTACAGTCAGGGTTGCAAATCAGAGTGCATTATGTAAAAGGACACTCATTATCCTTCGGTTTCTTAAAGTGCTAGCTCCATTTTAAGACTAAGTTCAAATACCACTTCCTCACTTAGCATCCTTAAGTCCCAGTCTGAAACACTCGTCCTCGGCTCCAGACAGACAGATGAGAATGCATTCTGAGAAAAATCTTCCTCTCATCTCAGTTAGTGCCTGAATTTCTATACAACAATGAGTATTTTTTATATACACAAGCCAAACACTTTTGACTGTCTGCAAGAACAGGAAGACTGCCATATTTTATTTCCTAAATTAGCATTCAGGGCATTAGATATCATTGTGACATTTTTAAGCCAAGATTGTTCTGGTAGCTTCTTTTTCTCCCTCATCGCCCCATCTTTTTATGATCCCTGGTCCTCCCATGTAAGGCTTCTATCTCCTTTTCTCTTTAATATTTTATTTCCCTAGTCACTCCCACCCTCCATCAGCACATTTTTTTCCTTTTCTTCATCACTTTTCTGGTATTTTAACTTTATCCACATTTACACATACACACAATTATCGAAGATTAAAAATACAATATTTTTAAAGAGTCTCATTCCTTTCAACTTTGTGTAGCTAAAGTCAGTCTCCATGAGGTTTTTAAGTTTGTTCTGAGCCATGTCTGTGCTCCTCTTTAAGTAGAATGCTCGGTAATAATGCATTCCTTAAAATGCATGTTTCTGAGTGATCTTACTCCCTCCTGTAACTGTGATCTTTGTTGATGGGGTGGAAGAGGGGATCATGGGTCTCTGGATTCCTACTAAATCCTGACTTCGTGCCCACAGGTTCTTTCTAAGTTCTTTTTTTTTTTTTAGTAAATTTTATTAAATTATAAAAGTTTCCATTTCCGCCCCTCTTCCCAACACCCTCCCACTCCCCCCACTCCCTCTCCTCCTCCCTCTTCGTCCCTTAGGGCAGTCAGGGTTTCCTGCCCTGTGGGAAGTTCCAGTTCCCTCCCCCTCCCTCCAGGTCTTTCTAAGTTCTTTTTTCCTACTATAAACCTTAGCTAACTCTACTCCATGTCATGGCTTCTGTACTTCCTCAGTAGGATTTCCTAGAAGCAGATATCCTGTGTGAGGTCAGCGACTCTGCAGCTTCCCAGGCTCTGCAGCCTCTCTTATGCCAAGAGCTGGTCTGTGGAGCAGGGGAATGGTGATATGCTGCAGCCAATTCACAGCAACTAGGATGCAGGACAAGGATCCAGATAGGGTACGATAAGTATCTCCTAGAGTCATCTTCATGTTATAGCTCTTGAGTATGGAAACTACATGCTGCTCTCCTTAAACCTCCCTTAGCACAGAAGCAATAGCTCGTGAACTGACTTGTTCAAGTTCTGATGAAGCAATCCCCAAATCTTCATTCGTTTGAATCCTTGGTCATTGGTAGTAACGGATACTTGCATTGGCCTTAGCTATAATCTCTCTTCACTATGTATTAGAGAACTAGAGTATGGGGCTAACAGAGAAAAAGATGGAGAACTCCATACTGCATGTTCCTGAAAACTTGGTTGCCCTGCCAATCCAAAAGATGTCTAAGAAACAATGTTTAAATTTAGGAGAGACAAATTACTGTGAAATATCAGGGCAAACAAGAGAAAGAGAAGAACTACTGTGTGCTCTATTCGGTCTTATTACTCTTTTTAATCTTACAAAAGCAACATATGAATATGGTTAAACCAAAAAACCCACAAATAGATAGCAAAAGTCTATTTCCATCACGTTGGATTTTCATTCCATTCCCTGAAACAGACCTACTATCAGTAGTTCCTGGAGTTTATATAAAAAATAATTGCAGTTATATATAAATATGCATATGTTTAGTATATACTATATATAAGTATACTTAAAATCACAAATTGATATATATGTGATTTTATACACAAAGATATTAGAGTATATAGATTCCTGTCTACTTTGTGTTTCCACTAATCATAGATCTTGCAACTATTTTTCCATCAACATGTCTATATCTACCTTATTTCAGTACCTATAGAGATTTAATCTGTTATTTTTCAAGCTCTCGGTCTTGAAAAACAATGACTCTGCTACTTCAGATTTTGCCACTAGACTATAGACATTCATATTCCTGTCTTTGTGTATGTGATTTTAGTACCATTATGTCGAAAAGTGCATAACAAGAGTATCCCAGGCAGGGGTGTGGCTACTGGATTCCTTACATCTGCATTGAATCATATGTCTTTCAGCCAAGGCCACACCCCACATCATCTGTATACTTGTTTTCAGTCTTTCATCCAGAATATGACTTATAATCTGAAAAGACAGACTTTGTCACAACTGAAAAAAGCCACATGCAATTTCCAACTGAAGAACGCTGTAATAGCAAGTTCTAAGATTGACGTTGATACATAATTTAAATAATAGGATAATTATGTTGAAAGGAACAGAAAGCCTAAATCTTGTTCAGAATTTAAGAGACTTGGTGCTAACAGCATGTCTAATTTGAATTTTGTTCAGAGACAGAAATTCTCCAGAAATGTAACTCACTATTCTTTTTTTCTTGAGAATTCCTTATATGAATACAGTGTATTGACATCATCCACATCCCTCCCTCTCCCATATCCAACTCGTCTGTGTTCTTTTAACTACCTCCTCTCAAATTCTAAACTTATTATTGTCACACACACACATACACACACACACACACACATGCACACACACGCACACACACACACACTCAAAATGTACATGTGTTTAGGGCTGACCCCTAAGATTGGGAAACCTATTGGGGGCCATCCCTAAGGAGAACTGATTCTCCCTCCCCAGAAGCCATTATTGCCTATAGCAACGACCCCTTGACCCTAGAGGTAAGACCTTGTGGAATTTTGCCCGCCTGTGTTGGTGCTTCGGTTGGTGTAACCTTGAGAGGACTTCCATGTTGTTGAGAGTTCATGGTGCAGTTTCCCCTGTAGATAACACCACCTGGCAGTTGTCCTGGTCCTATGGCTTTTACAGTAACTCCATTCCTTCTTTGCTGTTACCCGAGCCGTAGGTTAGGGGTTCTGTGACAGATGGCCCGACTGGGAATGGACACCGCTTAAATTCTCTGCATTTTGACAAGTTGTAGATCTCTGGAGTGGCCTTCCAGAGTAGGAAAAGGGAAGCATCCTTGATGAAGGATGAAAACTGCCACTCAACTGGTACAAGGATAAGCATGTTTCCTGCTTCCTGCAGGGTTTACAGTCATGTATTCCCTCCTGGTGAGTGGGTCTAACATCCAATTAGACAGTTGCTGATTATCCCCAACATACATGTTACTTATGTGTTGTACGTGTGCTGTGCCAACCCCGGTATTCCTAAAAGTGCCTCTTGTCCTTGCATTTACAGTGAAGTACATGAGAGAAGCCACGCCTTATGTGAAGAAAGGATCCCCTGTCTCTGAGATTGGATGGGAAACGCCGCCACCTGAGTCCCCTAGATTAGGGGGCAGCTCCGCAGACCCTCCATCATCCCAGTCCTTCTCCTTCCATAGAGACCGGAAAAGCATCCCCCTCAAGATGTGTTATGTCACCCGAAGCATGACCTTGGCTGACCCTGAAAACAGGTAATGGGGCAAACTTCCGTGACCCCCTGAGGTGATGAGAAAATTTGCCGGGCTGTGCTCGTGTCTGAAAAGATTCCGTGGTTCTCATGAGTAGACTGGAAGGTCCTCCCACCCTCCAAGCATGGGGAAGGTACATATTGAAAGGGGGGGGGGGAGATTGGACTCCATCCAGGGCTCCTCCCATTCTCATATTCTCTGTCATCAGGAGGTAAATGTGCATGACCCAGCTTCTAGGTAGAGTGGGAGAACTGGAATCAGCATCAGCATCCCAGTATCTTTCCTGGTTTGTACACTGTGAGTCTATGAGATTTTAGGTAAGCTCCTCAATCCGCCATAGTTTGGCTTTGTCATCTATAAGATGGGGAAAATTGAAATAGATATAGGCCTGTGAGGGCTCAATGAGGAAAGCCTATGAAGTGCTTAGCACTGGAACGAGTGTGCACTGCAATGACATGTGTTAGTCATGTTAGCAAAAGGCAAATATCTACCTACCTGAACCCCAGCATCCTCAACGGTGGCCTAGGAGGGTCAGATGGCAGAAGGCTCAAAACTCTTCTCTCCCATAAAGGGATAAGAAATGACATCACTCTGAGATGGTTGGGCACTTTTCCAAAATCCGTAAGTGACTCTGAACGCCACAGGACAGGCCTTCCACCTAACCCAGGGCACTCCAGAGGACAGCAAGGGTGGAGTAAAAGTTTACGGTCTCTTTTCACTCCAAAGGTACACTACTGCACAATACGCAAGTTGTAGGAAAAGATATTAAAGAAGAAAATTAGGAAGAAAGAGGGAGGAGGGAAAGAGAAAGAGACTGAGCACTGAGCCAGCTAATGGAGACACTTGGTGACCTTTGCACCCACATGAAAGTGCTAAAAATAGAAGCAGCTCTACTCGGCATTCTTTACACCATGTGTGGGACAGTTGCGACTCCCACGACTGGGAAGTACTTGGTTAACTAGGTTCACCGTTCCTGAGGGGGAACAGCCAAGGTGGTTGGAGCAGGGAGGAAACGGACTCCTTGCCTCCTTACTCCATGTGGGTTTTAGTTCTCAACCCAAGTTCACTCTATGCAAACTGCTGGGGCGTTCTGACTCCAACCACCTGACATACCCCATTGCCCTCCTCTCCAGCACCCTTCCCAGTGACCTCATAGCAGCACAGGGACGGGCTGCTCATAAGAGAGAGGCAGGAAGCAGCATTGAGAGAGGAGTCTGGACAGGTGGAATGAGGAGGTGGTCCTTTCCTGATGACTCTTCTCCTCCCTGTTCTGTTTTGTTCTCCCTCCATCTCCACGAGTTCCCTGGGAGTTGATTTCCTGACAGCTCAGAATTTCCTCCTCCCTTGGGGCCTACCCACCTCATCAAATAAGTCCGTTCTCCCAAAACCTAACGTCAAGGTTTCAGTCAATGAATTCACAATTTGCGGTGTGTTCATCTTGTACTAAGTTTTATATCAGTTTATGTCGTCCAGCAATTGCAAAATCACCACTTGCAGGTATATTTTGTTCATACATGTTTCTTTTAATAGTCTAACCACCATTTTGAATAAATTCAATGCCATATTAAACATTGTGAAATTTTACATTTTAAAGATAGGTTTTTACATTGCTAAAAAAAAAAAAAAACTATTGGCTACTGTTGGACACACGCTACTTACCGCAGTTCTAAGTAGCAGGACCCAGAAGCAGTTTATCCTTTGGCAAGGGGAAAGCTCTCTTTCTCATTCCTACTGTTCATACCTAGCGGCTTCACAGAATTTCTTGCCATGCCTGTCATATTACCTGCTTAATGTGCAACATCTTAATCCATGATAGTCTTCCTAACAACTGTCTGCAATGTTACTGTTGTTCCTACTCTATGAGCAAAAAAAAAAAAAAAAAAAAAAAAACAGAGGAAGATGTAGAAATTTCCAAAAACATCATAGAAGTCATTAATACCTTCAAGAAAAAGTTCATCAAGTTTTTTTTCTGTTGTTCCTTTTAGCAGTAGACTTATAAGCTATAACATGTATGACCTATGAACGGCATGAGGTCAATCAATTATCAAGACTATTTTGAGAAACCTCAGGCTTTAATAATACTGGAAATTCCATTATGTGTGTCTATCCAGAGAGAGGAATGGATTTATAAAGCTTAATACCACTGCTGTTTAAGTCTACTGCTGATGAGTTATCTGCACGGCACCCTGGGTGGGAGAGGCAGAGCCTACCCTGCTGGGATATGAGAAACAACAGGGCGGGGTTAAAAATGAGGGTCCAGCTGAGAAAGATGGCGCAGGCAGGGAGGGACATTAGTTCCAGATAGGTCCTGAACTGCTACCACCCAAGAGATAAGGGTGAGACTTGCCCTGAGTAAAGGAAAGAAAGGAAGAGGAAAGAGATGTTTGATGGAATTGCGTTTACAGGCTGGACAGAATATAACATTGTCAGTCAGGAAGGTAATTCTGGCAAACCACAACTCTGCTGAGTACAAGAAACTCCTAATACGAAGTGATTTCAGAGGAGCGAGATGCACTGCCTGGCAGGAGCCCACAAACATAATGCACAGGAAGAGTGTCAGAAAGCGCCAATTTCAGTCTTGATCGACGACAAGGTAAAAAGCAGGCTGAAGAGCAGAAAGCAGAACCAAGAAGGGCTGGTTTATGCTGAAGACAAAAATTCACGAGAAGCATTCGAGAGATCTAAACACAACCAAATGACGATACAGCAGCAGCGTGGCTAGCAGACGCTACAGAAAGATCACTGCTAAACAGGAGTGTGATAGGGTAACTTAATATATGTCACTCTCAGTCCGAGATGAGTCACGTGGAAGGCAAAAGATGAATAAGGACGTGGAAGACTTGCCTAGCACAATAATAGCCTCCTAGATGTATCCTAAAATTTGTATCTTGCTTTTAGAGAATGGACTTTCATTTTAGAGGCACATGGAATCCACAATCATGACACCAAGACACTTGTAATCTCATATGATATTAAATACACACAGAACGTGCATACAATTGGGCATAGAGCGCACCACAAAGAGAATATAGGAGGTCCCATAAGGTAGAAATGATATAAACAATGTCCTCTGGCCGTAGTGGGCTGGAGCAAGAACGTTAATAATAAAAGCAAACCTAAAATACTTTTCTTTCTGTTTTTTGTTTTTGTTTTTTTCCTTTTTCTTTTGTTAACGCTCTCCGTAAGTAACCCTTGAACTATGGAAGAAATTCACGCTGAACTTCTAGCCAATCATTAAAAGACAATAATGGAATCCAGTACATAGGGTTAACGTAAAAGAGGGAAGAGGAACAAAGGGTGTGGGCCCTGTGTCTAGCCACAGGCGCGGAGACGTCTTGGTTCTGGCACACCTACATCAAGTTAAAGAACTCAGCCCTGAACTCACCATCCTCTGCGTCCTCCATCACCTGAGCTTTGCTGAGGATTCGGAGTTAGGACCAGCAGAAAAGCCAGCTGGCTTTCTCGCCCAGCCTGGGCTGACACCAAATCAGTTTCTGGATCGTTACCCGCATTGTCCCCGACCTCGACACCTGACAGAACAGTCCACCTGAACTGTCAGCCAGGAGTTAATGGCCTCCTGGGTGCCAGAACATGAGAGCAGATTGACAAATGCCACCGACGTCTCAGGGGCTGATGCCCTCAGTGGGTGACACACAGTTGCGAACGGCTTGCATTAAAACCTTTAATGCTCAATTTCTCAAACAGAAACAGTCGTAGACCAGCAGGCAAGATTGCTGCTCTTACTATGAAAAAGGTCACCCAGCAGGCACCAAGTCCACAAGAATTTCACTGCTAGAGGCTATCAGGGAGCGCAACATGCTCTTTTCAAATGCTACCCCGTCGTACAGCCCCCACTTTCCATATTTAACTCTTGGCCTTCACACCCAGTGTCCTCATCCTAGCCACATCTTCAGTCCCCAGAGTGTTTGGAGCCACATCCTTTCTGATGCTTTCTTTTCAGTCTGTTAACTTTTCCAGCCCCCATCCTCACAGTCAATGGAATAAGACACCCTGCATTTATCCATTCGTTCAAACAGGTTCCGTCTCTCCTGAATAACAGTATATCTACTCTTCAGTATTGCATAGAAACCCCAATAAGCTTTGTATCCTCCCTAATTGCCCAGCACTGGCCCCTACACTTCCCGCTTTTAAGCTCCAGCAATCCTTAGGCAGTCTGGGGAAGGCTGGCAATCACTTCCCCGTCATCTGCTCAGTGGCCTTTGTTTAAGCCCCAGCAGAAGTGACCCATCCTGGGCATCCCTCTGGCTACACCTTCCACGCAGCTGTCTACTTATTGCAACCTCCTGACTGACAACTCTTTCTTACATACCCACCAGCCGTTCCTGACCTCCACGGTGCTTGAAGTGGGAGGCATTGCGCGTTTCATTTCGCCATCCTTGCTTTCAGGAACTTCGATCAGTACAAAGTAGCTATTCAAGAGTGTTCTCACTAATATATGATAAACAGCACACTTATCTGTCCATCTGGGGCAGTCTTACATCTTCAAATTTTTCTTTTGAAGACATCTTTCCCCCAGACAGTCTTAAATCTGAGAGAATAGAGTAAAGAAACATTCTATCCCCACACATAGAAAATTCGGTGAAACTAGGGCAATGCCTTAACGAGCCTGCTAAGAGATATGTGCAGCTGCGTCAACACAGCCAATGTTATGAGGTATCAATTGCCACTTTGTGAAGTATACCACAGAACCCACGGTATATTTCATGGGTAACGTACACAGAAACAACACTCAACCTGTTCTGGAAAGCCGTGTGTACTTCTGTGCACGGCACTCAGGTGAGAAATGCACCAAGGTGCTGTTCAGGATTCAAGGGGAAATGTCGACTTGGCACAGTGGCTCAGAGAGGCGGGATCTGGGGAGTCCTGTAGGACACGCTTGGGATTATTTCCACCAAGCGCCAACCGTGATGTCACCGATACATCAGAGGCTGAACTCCAGCCACAGAGAGTCAGAAAGTTGACTTAGAGGCCTGTAAGAATGG